CGGGCCCGTCACACCCCTGCCAGCCCTCAGGTCCGGGGTACCAGGAGGGCGGACGGCCCTGCACACCCCTGCCAGTTCTCAGGTCTGCGGTACCAGGAGGGTGGACGGCCCTGCACACCCCTGCCAGCCGGGGAGGTCCGGGCAAGTCCCGGCTGCTGCGATGCGGAGCCCCCTCCCCTGCCCCGGCCCTGCGGCCCCCCAGACCTGACCACACGAGCAGGTACGTAAACAGACTCCCCGAGCTCCACGTGGAAGGGCTGGGCCCGTGGTCCCCGGTGAGGACAGAGGCTGGATCTGACCCGCTCTGCCCACAGGCTGGCGGTGACGTTCAGGGCCCGGGGGCTCGTGAGCCGGCCCCGTCCCTGTGTCCTGTCCACGGGGCCCACACGCGTGGCGGGCCCGGTGCCGGCCGTGGGGCTGGGGCCCTCGTACCTTTGGTCTCGTCCTCGTAGACTTTGATGCCCTGCGGCAGCGGCTCGCGGGGGAGCAGGGTGGTGCTGGACAGCACCCTGGTGGCCCCCGTGACGTACATGGCTGGCACGAGAGGCAGCGGTTACGCCGAGGCCGCCCACCCCACCCGCGGGCCGCGGCCAAGCCAGCAGTGCACAGCCAAGCAGTGAGCGCGTCAGGCAGCCACGCGGGCTAGCGCCCTCTGACCTCCGGCTACGACCCCACGGCTCCCGGTGCCCACAGTCCAGCCTCCTCCGGACACCCCAGTTACGGCCCACGGTGCCCATGGTCTGGCCTCTGGCCCTCGGCCTTGGAGGCCCCTGGTGCCGTCCCCCGGCCCCTCTCCCCTCCCTCCCAGACCACCCATGAAGCTCGGGGGGCCCAGGAGACCCGGCATGCCCTGGCCGCGAGCAGTTCCTGAGACCCGCGGGGAGGTCGGTGCTGACCGCACTGCCCCGGGTGCCGGGCCTCAGTCTCAGACCTCCTCGGGGAGCAGGGACAGGTGCGAGACCACCCAGTCTTCCCGGAGAGAGGCCGGTGAGGGCCACGTGGGTCTGCTCCCCGGCCCCTCGTGCCCCGTGGTCACCTGAACCCTCTCCTCCCCTGGCCTCTGACCGCGGGCCCTGGCTCCTCTGCTCCGGGGCCTTGCCCAGCGACCCTAGCCTCCACCCCTGGGTCCCAGGGACCCAGGCCCCCTGCAGCCACCGTCTCCTGGTCTCCCCATCTTCCCAGTGCAGTCAGGGCAGCCCCGGGGCCGCCTCTCCTTCCCCTGCCTCTCCCTCCCGGTCCTGCTGGCCCCTGAAACCCCAGGGCGGCTGCTGTACTAGCCCCCCACACCCCTGACAGCAGCCACCATCCTGCCTGTGTCCCTGTCCTCCCCGGGGCCACGTCCTCCCAGTGTCCCTGTCCTCCCTGGGGCCACGTCCTCCCAGTGTCCCTGTCCCCCCTGGGGTCGCATCCTCCCAGCGTCACCGTCCTCCCTAGGGCCACGTCCTGCCTGTGTCACTGTCCTCCCTGGGGCCACTGTTTCCCCCACCCCGGGGCCCACCTACCACCCGCTGTCTCCCCGGGAGCCCACTGTCCTGCCCAGCACCCGCCGTCCCCCGGAGCCCCATCCCCCGGAGCCCCGTCCCCAGGGGCCCCGTCCTGCCCAGCTCCCCCTCCTGCCCAGCTCCCCCTCCTAGACCTGATCTCCCGGCTGCGCACAGTCGTTCTCCCTGCAGCCACCAGGGGGCGCCTGTGAGCACCACAGCAGGGCCTGCCCTCCTCCGCCCGAGCCCCGGCCCCCACTCCCTCCCTCGGAAGCCCAAGTCCCCAGGCAGCCCAGGCCCTGCGGCCCCCTCCCACCCTCGTCTCCCCAGCTCAGAGGCCCAGCCCTGCCCCAGGGCCTTCACACTGCACCTCTGCTGG